TCCACCCTGTATATATACATATGTTTTCTAATAAATCATAAAATTAGTACTATATTAATTTTTTACTTTTAATCACTTATTAAAAAATAGGAGTAATGGTCGTAACGGTTAGAGCTAGATCTTTAACGCTTAAATAATTCAATCTGAATTATTTAAGCATTTTACGTAAGCAGTTTACGTCTTACGCCTGAATAATGCCGCCTTGACATGCTTTTGGAAGAAAAGGGACTGTTCTTTAAAATAAGATATTTATAAAGCAATAATGTGTTAAAGAGTTATGCCTACCTGTAAACTTAAAAAAAAATCGAATTTTGGATTTTGATATTTTCTTAAAGTACATACTTTCAAAAATATTCCCTGAAAATTTCAAATCGATTCGAAAAAAATTGACGAAGTTATGTGAATTTAAAGATATACTGGTTTGAACGTTTGAAGCAGGTATTTTACGTAAAATTGCTTTTTTTTTTAATTTTGTACAGTCCGAACTATTGGGGGAAAATTTAAGGGATTTGATTCTAGCTGGAATAGACGACTCCGTGTGAGTTGAAAAATTTGCATCTTATTTGGTTGTAAACTTAATTTAAAACTTCAAACGCATTTTTCTCAAAACCGCATTTTTAAAATCGGTGACCAAAATATTTCGAAAACCGCTGCATCGATCAAAATGAAATTTGGTAGACTTCTTTAATACTAAAAAATCTAGTGCCCGATCGTGGCTTTTTTTTCATTGCGTATTTTTTTTTATTGATAAAAAACCGAGCGAACTTTAATAGAAGAATCGTACCTTCGAACTTGAACAGCCGCCATTTTGTCGCAAATTAATTTTTCAAAAAAATGAACGATCGGGCACTAGATAATCTTATATATTAACTAAATTTGTCAGGCTTTTTGATTTCAGATAAACCAGCTCAAAGCTAGAGTGGTCACCGCAAAATGCTTCTAGAAAAACTGCTTCTGGGAGATTACTCACATCTTCCTTATTTATCGATATTTTGCAATAAAAAAAATACTGAATTAACCTCGAAATACATATATTTGAAAACATAAACGTTCATTTCAAAAGCACTTCAAGTTTTTTTTTTAAATTCCCAAGAATACGTGTTTTTCCGACCATGCAGGTAGGCATAACCCCTTAAATCGAATAACGATCAGTAATTGAACAATGAAGTTTTTGGTCGACAACTAAATTATTTATTAAAGGTAATTAATACTAACTATACACTAATTTGAAATCGTTAAAAGTTTTTGACCTATGTCTTGCATTATGTTTAAAAGTATTGTTTTTTTATATTTTTATGGTTAAATACATATATTATGAATAATAGTATTTTATAATATTAGTAACAGAATACTTGTAAATATAGTAAAAGACACAGGTCAAAAACTTTTAACGATTTCGGATTAGTGTCATCCATGAAACCGAACATCGCGCATTACGACAAAACAGCAATGAATAGGAACGGTGATGGGCGTGAATACCAACATATTTCAATTTCAAACCAAAAAACACTGACCTTGGGCAGCTCTGCTCTATGATACGCAAAACTGATTACCAAAAATAAAAGACCGACAAATATGATTCAAATCATGTGGTTTATTCCTGTCAAATAATTTGCGCAACGGTCACAGGGGCGCTACTATTCACAAATAAGTTCGCGAACTTATATGTTCTATAACCGGCTATAGCCGGCGTTCATCACCGCGGAAATTGCTTCGTGGATGCCGGCTATAACCGGCGTTAGTGGCGAAAGAGTTAAAAACAACGGAGATATTTTAGATGGTCAAGTTAGAGGAAACACTCTGTGTATAGTAATTCAGATTATTTAAAGATCTAGCTTTGACCGTTACTTCTATTTTTTATTGTTAAATTTTTTAATGTACGGTCCAGTAAAATTCTTATTAATCACTTAAATTTTAACAGTTCACACGAACTTCCATAAGACTGGCCGTCTTTAGTAGCATCTCGTCGGTGCTCTAGTATAACAAAACAGAAAAAGTTTCAAAAATTTACACCGGATTAAGCGTTTCTAGTAATACTTCATCGATGATAATAATCAAGGCCAATTTAAGCAATAGATATATTTGGCCTTAAATGTGACCGTTCCTATTGCTAACATTTAATATCAATTTTAATATCAATTTTAACCTAACCAAATTTTAATTAATAATCGAAGGAATCTATATAAAAGACTGTGTTTCAAGAAAATATATACAAGGGAATATTAAAAAGAAAATAATAGAATAGAGAGATTCTACCATATAAATAAATAGCCAAAATAAAAAGCATTGCACTATATTGAGCATACTTAACAAAAATATGTGTTAAACGTTTCTTTCATTGGCTGACGCGTCAACATATTATACGGATCAATTTGGCCAAGTTTATTTTCTCCCGAATAATATTTGAAATTTTCTATTTTTTATGTATATGGATCATTCTACGTTAAATGGGCTATCCTCCCGACTAATATCAAAATAAATATAATTTATAGATACCCTATACTTTCACGTCATAGGATGCGTCAACGCGTGGCAAGAGATAACTGAAGAGTTTAATTGGGAACGTCTATAGTTGATTATCGTCTTTTACCACGCGTAATGTTTACTGCACACTCGACGCAATAAATGATGAGCAACGGGCGATATCCAATGAAAGCTCTGCTTTTTCTCACATGACGATACAAAGCAGAGCTCTCATTGGATATCACTCATTGTTCATCGCTCATCGCGTCCAGTATACAGTAGGCATAACGCGTTGACGCGTCCTACGTGCAATAAGTATCAAAATTTAGGTTGAAGCTTCTAGTTTTTGATGTTATGTAGCAATTTTAAAAAATATCAATAATTATAGTTGCAATACAAGGGAGCCAGCCCTGATAACTTTGACCTTGACATATGTTATCAAATTCATGACCCTGAGTGACTTCCAATAGGTTTTAGCCGTCGCTCGTTATTCGTTAAAAGTTATTAATAAAAGAAGTTTAAGAAATATTGTCTTATTTCTAGTACAATATATATAATATTAAATACTATTATACCTTACACCCCTTACTTGTGGGGCATAATGATTTTCTATTCTTTCAACGTCCGTATCAGCACATAATTATAATTTCTGAAATTAATTCATTTAAATGAATATATATAATAGTTCAACATTTTAACATTCAGACCGTAGTGACGCTTCGTTAAAGTAATGTTTAAAGTAATAATGTTTCTAACATAAACGTTTTTATTTCCAATCTTATTAAAATTTTTTAATCTTTTCCGTAATTTAATTTTAATTTTTTAATATAATATGAATGCTTGGGTGCACTTCCGAAAATCGAATCCCTCCGATTTCGATAAAACTTTACAAAAAGCTTCACTTTAGATTAAAATCGAAGTTCTTAAAGGGGTTTTTGACGACTAAGCTATTTTTTTTTAATAAAATGCATGTTGTGTTTATATTAATGAAGAAATTATCAATTTTATTGTATGAACTAAAAGGAATACGATTTTCCACACAAAGGCAGGTTTACCCCACTTCCCTCCTGCCAAAGGACATAGGATTTTTCACGCGAAGCGACTCCCACCCCACCTCCCCCTACTTAGAGACATACGATTTCCACGCGAGACAACTCCCACCCCACCTCCCTTCCTGATTAGAGGCGCACGATTTCCACGCGAAGCGACTCCCACCTCACCTCCCCCGCTGCTTAGGGGCGCACAATCTCTACGTAAAACGACTCTCACTCCACTTCCCTCCCTGCTTAGAAGCGCACGATTTCCACGCGAAGCGACTCCCACCTCACCTCCCCCTGCTTAGGGGCGCACGACTTCCACGCGAATTGATTCCCACCCCATCTCCCCCTTGCTTAGGGGCGCACGACTTCCACGCGAATATTGATTTTATTATTTTATTTTTAAAAGTAGCTTTTTTTGGGGAGTCATCAAAAATCCCTTTAAGGACTTTCATTTTGATCTAAAATGAAGCTTTTTGCAAAGTTTTATCGAAATCGGAGGGATTTGGTTTTCGGAAGTTTATCCAAAATTCTATTTTTCAGTAACAAAGAACATAAAAAATATAGCAAGGTCTCTTTGAAGTCGATTTGAAAACGCAAAAGCTATCCCTAACATATAAAAACAACATGCATTTATACCAGTAGAACACAAAGACTTAATTATTAAGAGATCTTTTTCAAGTCTAAATGGTACAACTTTTCAATATTAAAATTCGCGCATTATAAAAGCATTTGTATTATAATAAAAAATTAAAATTGGATTGGACAAAAAAATGGAAAAAGATTTTAATTAAAAGAATAAAAATTACAAAAAATTGAAACATAAATCACTTTCAATAAAACATGAAAAGATATAAAGAAGAAAAAATAATACTGGCTTTGAGAAGTAATCCAAAGATAGACTTAACCTTATATAAACGCAGAAAGCTAGGTTTTTGTCTTTATTATAACAAACTATTAAAAATCAGTGTTAACAAATGATATTTAGTCAGTGTTGGAACGTATCTAGATACTTTAATTGTATCTAAGTATATTACCTAGATCCTTATGGGCGGAGATATCTGTATCCGTATCTAGTTACTTTTTGGTATAGTATCTTTTAGGTTTTTACATAAATAAAAGGTACTTATACATTTTATTTTGTCATTTTGGAAACTTAATTTTTTATTATTGTAATCATCTTTCTTCTCTAATTCTTAACTTTATGCAAGTGCTTTCATTTAAATGAAAGCAATTGTTTCACCGCCTGAGAGAAAAAGTTTTACAAAATTGTGTAATTTCATATTAGTTATATAAAATTATATAAAATTATATATAGGATATCTCCGACCTACGGGATCGCCTCTCACGAGCTGGTACAGCGAACTGAACTGAATCGAAAAATCCTTTACCATTTACAAACGACTGCGACCGATGGGCGTATACATGGTGGTAGTCCGTGCCGATACGTGCTTATTTAATGATATTTAGAAATTAATATCTCCCCCCTAAAGTATTAGTAAAAATTGTAAAATGGTAAAAGACTTTCCAATTCAGTTTAGTTCGCTCTACCTACTCATGAGAAGTGATCTCATAGGTCAGGGACATCCTATACGAGTATATGAAATATGCCCATATTTGAACGTATTCTATATGTAATTATATTTAATTTTACATAATTTTACACAATATATATAACTAATATGAAATTATATAATTATATAAAACTTTTTTCCGAGCGCCTATATAATTTTAGTTCCTAGTATTTAGTGATTGGCGACTAAGGAACTTCATAGAAAAAGAATGGCAAACTGATGACGCGACGCCAGTCTTTTTTGGTTCTGAGCACTAAAGCTCTATAGAGTCTATTATGAATGTAGGGATACACAGATTAGAGAAGAACAATTTGTAACATGACAAATTGCGATTTTTCCTGCATCCATAATAAACTCTACAAAGCTTTGGTACTTGGGACCAATCGGAGTAATTTTTTTTAGAGCGGAATCGAGAAAAGTGAAAAATTTTATGTACATATGTATACGGATAAAAAATTTTCATCTTTTATGTTTCCATCATAGGGTGCGTTCGAAAATCTACTCGTCGGGTAGAGTAAGGTAGGCATGGGTAAACGTAAAACTCGATCAGAATAGCACGACTTTCCAAACGCACAGGATATAAGACCGAGGTAACAACAATGTTTGAATCAGTCCGCCAAAATAAAATACTATTTTCTGCGGTAATAGCTGGCCGCGGATATAATAAAATAATAAAATAAAATAATTCAATAATTAAATAATAATTAAAAATAATAAGAGAATTGAAAAAAATAAGGACATTAGGAGTCAGGCGCAAAAGACGTCACGCAAATAATATACTAATAAAGAGTGAAACTTCTTTATTCACTAAACGCGCTTACATGTTTCGGCTCACTTTTTGAGCCTTCCTCAGAGCAAACACAAAAAGAACGTGAAGTCAAGAATCACGGAACATAAGAACCACATCCGATGGAACACGTCTGGTCGCAATGTTATAACGGAACATCGGTTGCAAGAGGGACATAATTTTGACTGGGACAGCGTTGCAATATTGGACAAGGAACCTCATTACAGGAAGAGATTGATTTCGGAGATGACATTCATCAGAAGACAAACGCATGGACTCAACCTGCAGACGGATATGGAGGGGCTTCCGAAGGCCTACCTTCAGATTATAGATAAACTATAAAAGCTCGAGTTGTCACGTCTTGTCAGTCAGTGTCATTTGTGCACAGTAACGAGTCCTTCTGACGAAATTTCTGATCACTTTACAACTTTCATTTTTTTTTTTTTTGGAATTGACTAACGTTTTAATGTTGTTTCATTTGTTATCTCGAAAAAATACTAGCTAATAAAAAATACTAGCTAATAAAAAAAAAGTGATTCACTGTGTCTGATACCGATTGGCCAACATATCAGGAACCTGGTCTTGAATTATTCATGGTAATGTTTGCGATATGGTGCTTTATAATCGTGGTGAGCGTCCTTATTTGCGGGATAATTAATTATATTCTTAAAGTTTTTTGATAAATTAGTTTCCATATTTTCTAATTCGACATTTTCCCTTTTTCACTTTTCCTTTCTTTTTCTTTTTTGGTTCATCCCAGCATTTAAATTCTCGATGTAGGGGAGCTCACCATGACAGGATAACTTTTAGTTTATATATGTTAGTTTGTGTTTGCTCTGAGGAAGGCTCAAAAAGTGAGCCGAAACATGTAAGCACGTTTAGTGAATAAAGAAGTTTCACTCTTTATAAGTGTATTATTTGCGCGACGTCTTCTGTGCCTGACTCCTAGTGCCCTTACTCTTTCCAATTCT